CGTGCTAGACAAGCTCGCATAAGGTTTGTTAGCAACAGCAAGCAGTCTGTTTCTTCGAGTTTGATAAAATACGTGACGAGCCGAATGTAAATTAGTGAATACGAAGCGACTGACCGAGCGACGTGAAGCAAAACCAGGAACCGCGAAAAGCGCCATTTTTCGTTTCGTTTGGTAGACCAAGGACAAAGACTCACATTAAAATTAATGACATCAGAGGAAACAGGTTGTAACGTAGCTACAGAATCATTATTTATGTTTTTGATTAAACACCTTGTGTCAAATGAAGAGCGGTGAAAATCTGGGAGTAGAGTTTCAAATAATCGCATTTCCAGCTAAATTCACCGTACGAATGTAGAACAAATCGATCTGTCTGTTATCAAACTAACCGTGATGCGATCGTTTTTTGTTTCGTTTCCTCAGAAACGAAACGGTATTGTTCTCAGTTCAGGGGTGAACAAGCTCGAATACGGTTTGTTAGCCACATCAAGCAGTCTGTTTCTTCGATTTTGATAAAATCCGTGACGAGGATTGCTGGATGCGAAGCGACCGATCGAGGAGCGAGCAGCAAAACAACGAGCCGCGGAAAGTGCCATCTTTTGGTTTTGTTTGGTCTAGCAAGGACAAAGACTCTCTTTAATATTAATGAGCTCAGGGGCTATGGGTTGAAAGGAAGCTATAGTTTCATTTTGTTTTAAATTAAACGCCTTGTTCTAAATGAAACGTGGTACCGAAACTCAGCGAGTTAAGTCTCACTTGATCTTATTTCCAGCTAAATTCACTGCACGAATGTAGCACAAATCGTTCTTGTTGAGTAAATATCCGACTGTTTGCTATCAAATTAAGCGTGATGTAATACGGAGAGCATAGAAAAGGGCCATTTTGTGGTTTCGTTTTGGTAGAGCAAGGACAAAGGCTCGCTTAAGAATTAATGACATTGCATGAGGCGTGATGAAATAAAGCTAACGTAATATTAGTTTTCCATTAAATGCCTTGCGTCATATGAACCACAGTACAAACACAGGGACTAGAGAGTCTCATTTGATCGTATTTCCAGCTTAATGTGTCGCAACAAGTTTAGGGTAAAATCAAGTTCGAGGCCGGGTCAAGTTTGGGTTACCCTGAGTGTCAGAGGTTCTTCTTGCGAGGTTTCCGGTGTCGGTTATGTCTCTATTGTGACCCGCGCGAAAACCTCTGGAGCATGCAGGCTCCCGGCGAGGACGGAAAAAAAATTCGGCAAGCGAGAAGCAGAAGAATTCGGAGAGCGAAGCGATCGGAGCGCTTCATTTGGGCTCACTGGGAGCCTGTTCGCAGGCTAGCTTCGTTCGGGCTCAGCGGGAGCCTGTGCGCAGTCTAGCAGAGCGCGATTTCTTCGATAGCACAGAGCCAATAACAAACCAGTTTAAATCTATCTAGTCTAGAATCTGCACTAGTAAGATGATTGGCTCCTAACGACCACCCAAGGGTTTTCTAATCTAACAGACACGGTGACTGGTTTCTAAGAATAAAGAACATGAGCCTGTGAAATGAATAAGGTGCTTGTCCCTTGGTGACGTGATGATCGAGATGGCGGATGGTAATCGAGCCTATGAAAGACCAAGAGCTGGAGGAAACCATAACGAAAGTTCTCAAAACGTTCGACGGTAATGACAACTTAAGCGCCGAGTAAAGGGATGGAATTGCGGATTTTATTCGCAGCACGAATTATTTGTCAACTCAACTAATTCCTGGACACTATGTTGAACTACACAATGCTTCCGACGCCGGTGTGCCAGGCGAGCTGGAACAGTGTTTTGAACGCGTATTTTCATCGTTTGTATAGAAAAGATTCTTTTTGTAATATTCTCAGTTTAAATTTGCGACTTCTTTGACAGTCGCTTCGAACTTTTCGATCCGTCGGTAGCACTTCTTACAAAGAATACGCGGCCCGACGGACAGATGGTCGTCCTCGATATTGAAACGTGTCGAGTTGGGAAGTAATTAAGGTTACTTCAAACCTTCGCGGGTGTCCTCCAGAAAAAAATTCGTACGCGCGCTGTTTTGAAGGAAANGCGTCATATGAACCACAGTACAAACACAGGGACTAGAGAGTCTCATTTGATCGTATTTCCAGCTTAATGTGTCGCAACAAGTTTAGGGTCATATCAAGTTCGAGGCCGGGTCAAGTTTGGCTTACCCTGGGTGTCAGAGGTTCTTCTTGCGCAGTTTCCGGTGTCGGTCAGGTCTCTATTGTGACCCGCTCGAAAAACCTCTGGAGAATGGAGAGCGCTAGCCTGTAAACAGGCTCCCGGCGAGGACGGAAAAAAATTTCGGCAAGCGAGAAGCAGAAGAATTCGGAGAGCGAAGCGATCGGAGCGCTTCATTTGGGCTCACCGGGAGCCTGTTCGCAGGCTAGCTTCGTTCGGGTTCAGCGGGAGCCTGTTCGCAGTCTAGCAGAGCGCGATTTCTTCGATAGCACAGAGCCAATGACAAACCAGTTTAAATCTATCTAGTCTAGAATCTGCACTAGTTAGCTGATCGGTTCCTAACGACCACCCAAGGGTTTTCTAATCTAACAGACACGGTGACTGGTTTCTAAGAATAAAGAACGTGAGCCTGTGAAATGAATAATGTGCTTGTCGCTTGGTGACGTGATGATCGAGATGGCGGATGGTAATCGAGCCTATGAAAGACCAAGAGCTGGACAAAACCATAACGAAAGTTGTCAAAACGTTCGACGGTAATGACAACTTAAGCGCCGAGCAAAGGGATGGAATTGCGAATTTTATTCGCAGCAAGAATTATTTGTCAATTCAACTAATTCCTGGACACTATGCTGAACTACACAATGCTTCGGACGCCGGTGTGCCAGGCGAGCTGGAACAGCGTTTTGAACGCGTATTTTCATCGTTTGTATAGAAAAGATTCTTTTAATTTTTTGTAATATTCTCAGGTTAAATTTGCGACTTCTTTGACAGTCGCTTCGAACTTTTCGATCCGTCGGTAGCACTTCTTACAAAGAATACGCGGCCCGACGGACAGATGGTCCTCCTCGATATTGAAACGTGTCGAGTTGTGAAGTAATTAAGGTTACTTCAAACCTTCGCGGTTGTCCTCCAGAAAAAAACTCGTACGCGCGCTGTTTTGAAGGAAACCCCTACTATATATCAATAGAAAGATTATAAAATGTAGAATTCGATCAAATTATATTCTTTTTTGCCGACTGCTTTCCTAAGTCGGCAGAAGCCGTTAACGTCAAAACGACCGACTGAAATTCCGGCGAATTAATCGGGTAAAAAATGCGATCGTTGATGCAAAATAACTGTGCAGTGTTAATCACAAAGCATCTCTCTAAGTGTGTCAGCATTTTCTTTTGGTTATCTTTTTATAGGGATCTCACAAGGTTTCTGGGAAACCACTCGATTGAGAAACGAGACTCGATGGGAAACCACAACGATCGAGACTCGTTTGTTAAAACTGAGACTCGTTTCAGTGAGCGAGAATCGAGTCTCGTTTCTCAGAAAACGAGACTTGTTTAGTAAATTCAATTAATAGCTAATAATTGATAGTTAATTTATACAACAAAAAATGTATCATTAAAAATTGTCAATTAACTATTGATTATTAATTAACAATAATTAATAATAAATTTATCATTTTTTAATGATTAATTATTAATCAATCATAAGAAAATATGACATCAAAACAAAAAAGGAGCAGTCCTGAAGCACGCTGCAAAAATTATTACCAATTGTGTAATAACAGGAGCCATAATCGGGGACGGAGACCGTAAGCGCGC